CTATGAACCTTGAACCAGTTTTTAGATGAAAGAAATCGGACGGATAGATCAATCCCGGAGCTTAAAGTTAGATCGGAAAATATGGTTCGAAAAAAACGCGTACAATGTTTTTTGAAAGTTTGCCTTGCGTGCGTGCCTGCGCGAGACTACTGTGTTGGAGAAGCTGCCATTGAAAAATATCCCTCGTAATGCAAAATCCCTTTGAACCAAACTCTCGTTTTTTGATCCAAAATCAGGGGAGAGTCTCCTTTAGTGTGATTTCAACGGTATTCAGTTGGTTTTTTTTTTTGAAAAAATATCGATACATAAGACGGTGAATTATTAAAAAGATCTGCATTGGATACCAGTCTCGTTACCATCATTTCCTGATCATATTTTTTTCATTTTTAAAGTTTCTTCCGTCAGCATCGGTTTGATATCTCAAAATCGTGCACCGAATATGAAAGCATTAAATTACACTTTTGTAAAAAGATTTCAAAAAATCGTGCTTACATTTTAAGTTTTCACTGAGACCTGGCCTTTACAGAAGAGACAGTCTAGTTAATAACTTTGGGAGTTTACCTCCGCTCGACTTGAAAATATATTCTTAAAAGACTGAAATGTATCATAAAAAGTATCAAACTCTATACTCTTAGCTTCATTGTTATCAGTCCTCTATTTTGTTGACACTGAAAATCGTTTTCAGTTCATCTCTAATATGTACAGTAATTTTTATAAAAGATGAAAAGATCGAACGCTGAATTTGTCTAGAATTCAATGCTGAGACCGAAAATCAACGTCAAAGTCAATAGCTCAGATGGTTGGCTGAGAGTAAATTTGTCGATGAAACTAAATTTATTGAAACTGCCATGATTGGCAGGCGAAATAGACGTTTCTGCGACCGTCATCCGAGAAGCAAGGAATGTCAAGCCCTCCGAGTGTATTTCTGACATGAAATAACAAGGGCTCTCTCGAAAAATGACTGAAGTGGAAATCAACTTAAATAACGGTCATTATAAATAAGGTGAAATGCAATAAGCTTTTCTGCAAGGAAATAATAGTTTTAGCAAATAAATTTCCATTGAGTATTCGAGACTTTTGTAAAATAAACCATCAAACCACAATTTGATGGACTTGCCACAATTTCAGAATTTCATTTAACTCTTGTTGCAACTACAAGGTAATGCAAAAAACTATAATAACAATAACATTAGACTTAGTAGGTTAGTAAGCTAACTTATAAAGAAACTCAACAAAAAATTTGTTAGGAAATCACATCACGCTAAACAACAACGTGAGTAAATCTAGATACAATGTGCTGTTATACAGAGTCACAAACTGGACACATATTTGCGGATTTGATTGCAGCAACAAAGTGTGTGTTGAGTAGAGTAACAAATCAATAGTCAAGATATCAACGCCATCAGGCGGATAGCGAAAATAGACGTAGAAATAAAATTTGTTGCAAATATGGCCTTGAATATTACTAAAACAGATCCCCAAATTATACATAAGAAAATTTATTAACGCCAACGAAATTATCTTTCAAGAGCAGCACTGACGGCGTTGGTGATAAATCACAATAACTGTACATAACTGTGGTTTTGCATATTAAGCCAACGTTAGCCAAGAGTGAAGCGCTTGCCACTGATGAACTGTTGATAGCTTAATTATAGGTTGCAACTGCAGGCTGTTGGCAAATTTTTCATCCGGCAGCACACCAACACCACGGCTTTAGCAACGCAAAAAGCAGTAATTTGTACTCGTTTTTTAAAATATAATAACAATTACTCATATGGTTTTTGCCCGACCAGTGCAGCGTATGGACGCTGGAGAAAAGCCATTTAGAGTGAGAAATCATCGACGCATCCCACCTTCACTTCGTAGCTTGTCGATTATTAGGTGGCAAAACTTAAATGTGGCATTTTCATATGCAACGATATGAGTGTAGTGATTTATTCGATACACTTGAGATAAATTCTCAGTGGAACATCTTTTTTTCTGCTGAAACGAAAATTTCATTTTCAACAAAATTACCCGAAACAAATTTAATAACAAACCATCACCAGCTGCACCAAGCTCGTTTTTATTATTTCCTATGGAATTTTTGTGGGCTGGTAACTGCCCATCGTCGTCTCAAGTCACAGGCTACACTTTGCTCGAACAATTTTTATCAATAAATCGATTTGTTTTGGCAGCAGCCACCGCTAGCACCATCCATCAACGAAGTCAACATGGACTTTGTTGTTATAATTATTGTAATATTCAAAACAGTACTTCTGACTCCATTAATTTTTTCTCCATTCAGTTTTCCATTTTCTCTTCGAATTTCCCCTCTACTGTTTATAGTTGCATTGTTGTTGCAATCGTAATAGAGATGAGCACACTCGGCTTGGCTGATGATTTAATTGCTGGCGATGGCAGCGGTCAGGCCGAGATAAGTAAAATGGTGTTAGTATTGTTTATGTTGTTGTTGTTGTTGTTGGACTTTGGTCGTTAACACACAAAGCATCGGAAGGTGCGCGTGCGCGTGCGGTGGCTTGTTCAACCTGCCGCGAAAGCGAAAGGCTTCTGCGGTCACTCGAGAGTACTTGGTGTGTTTGTCGAGCATCAGCGAAAGTGTTGGCATTGCGTGGTCGTCAGCGGCGCAGAGGGTTGCGGTTGTCCACTTGTAGATTTCATTGATGTAATAAGCGATTTTCCAAACGAGATTTCGCCGCGATTCTCACGGTGTTTTCTAATCTTATGACCGTCACTTTTTATTTCTCTTCCTCTTGCTAAGTACAAGTACTTTTTCATAGTTTCAGTATTCGTATGAAGTGAGTTTGAGCTCATTTAATGAGTTGACTTTCATGCCACTGTTGTTAACACCATTTAAATGCGTTTTTTTTAATTATATTAACTTAAACAGGAAGAAATTAAGGGGAAACACAAACTAACAAACGATGTTACTTTTCATTTTCGTAGAACTGCCAGAGAAGACTTTGCAAAATCTGAAAAAAAACACACAAATAAATCTTAAATGTAAATCAAGCGGCTTAAGGGTGAACTATTAATGATCAGTTTACTAGGAAAAATAAAAAATTATTTAAATTAGGCATATGTTAACAGGTATTTTGACCGCTGATCTCGGCACATTTTATTGCAACCCCCAAGCATTCTGGTAAAGTGGATCGAAGTGGTTCTTACAACCGGAACTCACGTTTGAGCTTCACCCAATATAGTTACCAGGTTAAAACAGGAGTGATCATTCGCACCACTTCTAATTTTTCCTATGCAATGGTCCCCGAACCCCTGTAAAAACCAAACGTGACTAAACTAAAGGGTTGCATTCCCATCATTTCAATCTCCCAAATATCTTCTCGCTCTTAAGTTTCAAGCTTAAGCAATCCCAACTGAAGTGTATACAACCGGCGGACTTGATATTGCCTGACGAGGGACGACCGCAATTAGAAAAAATAATTTAACAATGTTTTGGTTGTTGGTCATATCAAGACTCGAATCTTAGCCTGCCTTATAGTATTAAGCAATATTAACCACTGTTTTTATATTATAAAAGCTCTTATATGAAAAATGTAAAGGCTATGGGAGTCTAAAGGTTTATACATGTACATGACACACATATCACTTTGAGGATACATTACTAACGTCATGATGTTATTTAAACCAAAAAAATTTAACTTCAAGCGCTCCCAATAGACTTTGTTTTCGCCGATAACTGAGCAAACTTTTACACCTTTAAATAACTTAAAATAGTTTACTGCTTCAAAGCAGTCCTGAGAATGTCTAAACAAAACAGTAAAATTACGAAAACTGCAAAAATCTCCAGACTAATTCAGTGTCATTCACATATGTGCATATCTCCACATCACTTCAACTCCAACAAGAAGCAAAACGAGAACTAGACGCAAGCTACGTAATTACGGTCCACAGCTTAATAAGCACCAATTTGCCGAATGTAAACAAACAGACATTCGAACCAACTGGATAACAAGCAAACAGACCGCCTACAAAAGCCAGAATCAAAGCAACTCCGAACATACATACACAAATAGCAGTTAAACAACGAAAATCAAACAATTTCACCAAATAAGCGCAACCGTATCAAACACAATACAACATGCAACACGCGCCAAGACAACCGAGTGGCAAATGAAAATACTGCGAAGAAGCAATCGAGCAGCGCTACCTACAAACCAATTACAGTAATACACTTACGTTAATACATATACAGACTCAGAGATCAGTAACTCTGTTAACAATGTCTTTGAGCCACTGTTAAGCAGATCACCATGAACGCTGGCTGTTAAGTGGTTGAACTGTTGAGCCACCAGCGCACACTCACCACACTTAATGTCTTGCACGGGTCGCTACACGAGACAGTTATCTTTGGAAAGCGCACGCGTGCGGTACGTTGATGAAATTTCGACGCGAAAACGTCAATGAATTTCTGGGTGAAATGCACGAAAGGAGTTGGGCACGTAAAATTTTATGTTCAATTTATTTAATAAGATGTTATGGCGTTGATTTTTAGCGCAGCAAAAGACTTAAGCAACGAACTTGGTGAACATTCCATCTATTGTATATAAGTGACAATAAAATATTGCAAAATAATAATAATCAACAAAAATTGTTTATCAAGTGTAACGGTTAATTGCTAATGGAAGCAAGGAAAGTTAAAATTATTTACTAAAAAATCAAAAGGAGATCACATGCAAATAACCACACGCGAACAATTCGATAAAAGTGGTGATGAGAGCAAGAGTGGATTAATACTACTTATACAATTAATTATATTTAGTTAAATAAAGATAAATGTCATGTAATGAAATAAAGTATAAAAAAACAAAAGAAAATTTAATTAAATAAGATAAACAGCTTAAATTGAAACAAACGAATTAAAACAATAAATTAAATTGAACGAAAAATATGAGTTAAAATAAAATCAATTAAAATAAAAACTAATCAAATTTATAAAAAATGCATATAAAAAAATTAAATAGTAAGGAAATAAAATAAATTACCAAATCTCTGGCGCATAGCTTTTGAAGGGAAAACATAAACAACGTAATTTACCGAATGCTTGCTCTCTGATTCACTCATTTACGCTCTCACTCTCTCTACCCGAAACCTAACTTTCTTTACCTCACACACCACCACTCTCTTCTGCAGCTCGTGCAATCGAAATATCGCCAACAAAAAGTCAAGCAACAGCAGCAGCAACAACAGCAAAAATCCATCAGTGACAGTCGTCAGCAACTTTGAAACGACTCGTTTGTTGTATTTGCTCGATTATAAGCATTTTGTTTTCTTATTATTATTGCTATTGTCATCTTTATTGTGCCGGCTCTACAACCAGTAAGCGGACAAGCGCGCAAGTAAGCAAGACGATTCATGCCAACGAGCTGCGCTGCTGTTTCAAGGGGCTGCTGCTGCTGCTGCTAAAGTGAAAGTTGCACAAAAGCGTGGTCCGTTATCTCCGCTGCGCGCAGAAGCAACGAATTCACACTAGCTTTAGCCGAAGCATAACACTCACTCATACATTGAACGTCCATGCTGATGGACGCATGTGCGGCAGTTCGCTAGTTCGCTTTTGTGGCTTTAGTAAATATTCCGTTGGACATTTGTGCGCTGAAGTTGTATGGCAGAAACTTATAGAAAAATACGAATGCACATATATACTCGTACTACAAATTAAACTCGTCCGGAATGGTTATAAGCGTTTGAATTGTGCAGTTCTTTAACGGTGCTGCATGTTTTCAGCTTCTGAAGCAAAGTATATATCTGAAATAAATGTGACTAGTGTTTTTATATGAAGAATTAATGTGACAAAAAAAACAAATGATTGTAAATAAATAAATAAATAAATAAAAGCAAGTTAGCACTTCTAAATGAAAAATAAAAAAATAAAAATTTATGAGTTTGTGAAATTAAGTGAAAGGATTTGTGAAGCAGTTGCATAAAACAGTAAATAAATTTTTTCTTTGTGAAATATTAACTGAAAATTCTACCATTTTTCGAATAAATAAAAATTAAAAATAAAACATATGATCCCGTTAATTGTGGTGTTGAAATGATGACTTAAAAAAACAATTTCAACAAATGAGAAGTTTAATGTGACTATTAACATTTTTAAAAGCGGGAAAATTATTATTTTTCACTCCCTGCCAAAGTTTCTATTTCCAATAGTAATATTAAGTAAGATTTCAACTTAGAATTTTATTTTTTTAATAAATGTCTTACTAAAAAAAATTCCAATTCATATATATATTACCTAACAAATGCGTTTTTATCGTTGGTTTTAATCTCACTACTATCAGAAGGTAATAAAAACAATCATTCAAATAAAAAATTTTAAAACTTTCAAAACTAGTCAGCTATACTTTCGGCTAAAAGATGACACGGCTGGACAATAACAAAAAATATGTTTAAAATTGCTAGCTTAGTTCGTCCATTTTTATTATTATTTCTTTTTGATTTATTAAAATTATTTGATAAATAATATCCCAAATTTGTATTTATGTATAAAGAAAGAGCAAAGATTAACGAAACACACACCAGCAGCGTAGAACTACACATATTTATTTAAAAAAAAAACACACACTCACACACAAATAGATACGAATAAAAACAAAATAAGAACGCTTCTTCGAAAAAGGGGGGTAAATGCGTGTAAAAAGCTCACAGCTACTAAATAACTGGCAATTTCAGTATGTGTTAATTAATGTCTTGCCTAGTGTGTATGTGTATGTTAGTTGAGTTTGTTGTTGGTTGGTTTGCATGCGAAACGCTCGAGAAGACAGTTAGTTTACCGGACCAACAGAACGCCTGCAGCAAACAAAAAAACGGTCCGTCGCTGATCGCTAAAAGAGGCACACAAACATATCACAACACACACACACACACAAACACAGCATCCCTGCAACCCAATTCAGCCATTGACGGCATTTAGTTATCGCACACGGCAGACGCAAATGTTCTCAGATAGTTAATCAAGTGTATGTACGTATGTATGTATGCATGTCAGCATTTCGGCCACTGCTGTTTTTTACCACTTGTCTTTGTAGATTTTTACTTAATTTCTTTAAGTTGTTACTGTTGTTGTGCCTTCATATTTCATATTTATTGCTTTATGTGTACTTTAAAAATATTTTATATACGCATACATATGTACATATTTATATGCAAGTATGTGTAGTCACAAATTGGTATTGCATTTTGCTCTTCGCTTTTTTTTTTTTTTAATTTCCCTCTGTTCATTTCATGCTCATAATACGCATAAATTATCAGAATTTGCCACTCCACGCCTCTAGAGCTCAGCTGCTGCTGCTGCTGCTGCTGCTGGCGCCGCTGCCAGTCACCTCGTGCATTTCCTCACACCTGAAAAAGCAGTTCGCCAACAGCACCACCCAACAACAACAGCATTAGCAGCAATAATTAAGTTGGAGAAAACTCATATAAATACATATTCACATATATATATATCATTGTATATATATATATATATATATATATATCTTTGGTTGCTTGTATGCTGCTTGTGTTCTATTGCAACGCTGCAGCGGCTGCAGCGAAACAAGTTCGTTGCTTTTTGGCTCTTCTTCGTTCGTTTGCTTGTTCATTGCCTTGGCACATTTGCCATTTAACCAATCAGCCAACGTCCAGATTTCCGCCAGCTTTCTGCTGTCAGCAGTCTCTTGTTTTGTTGTTGTTGGTGGTGTGGTTGCAATGATGTTCTTGTAAAATGTCGATGATATAGTTTGAATGAAGCGTATGATTGAGCATACATGCGAATAGCGGTATTTTTGCAAGCAAATGAAAGAAGCTTGATAAAAAAAAGTACAACAAGAACAACAAGAGTAACAAGAACAACAACAGTCCAGCCAGCCGTAATAAACTTGTGCGCTAAAATAAAGCATAGTTTATGAGTTCAGCAAAGAAACAGTAGCAGTTTATGTTTGTATGTATGTTCATGTGAGTTTGTGTGTGTATGTGTGCGTCAGCATCCGCAATGCAGATTAATTGTGAAAATATGCAATTTCGCTTCAAATTATATATATACAGAAGAAGCTGTTTCACATACACGCGTATGCACATGAATACATAATCTCGCATAAATATTAAATCAGTTATGAAATTGTAAACGTGGAAATGTCAGAAATCACAAGTCAGGCTACAAAGTTGTTTCAAAATGTGATATATTAGTTTTTTTCACTTTTTTCTAGTATTGATTCCAGTCAGCCAAAATGTAACAAAACGATGTTATTCGGATAGCGGACAGCTCGAGAAGTCATGCCAACGATTAAATCAGCTTGAAAAACGCTTTTTGTATTCGGATCCGAATAAATTAATTAGCAAAATATGTTTTATTAGTTTTCGGTCTGACACAAAAATGATTGATATTGAAATATGAATATTTTCTTCTCATTTTAAATTCGACTTTATGCTTACAACAAAAATGGAGAAAATGCGCACACCTCTTCGTACATACTCGTTTATGTAATGTGCCAGAAAATATTTATAATTAATTTCTCAACATTATTGCCAGGTTGTTAATATCGTTTTGTTAATATGAACAATAACCTAACCGAAATGTTTATGTTTCGTCTCGGCGTAATGTTCTCGACGCTAAATTTTTCATGTTGGGGCTACATAAAGTCATCGTTACCGTTGGTTTTAAGGTGGCTAACAGCTGTGATTTAACAGCACACTTTTATTGGAATATTTAACATTAACGACAGCATTTCGCTTTCAGCCTTGCTTTTTCTTATTACCAATAAATTAGTTAGTTTAAATAACTTGAAAAAAACTGAACAAATTTATGTAAAAATTAGCATCCAGACATTGGCAAAATTCAATTGACAGATTTTAAATATTTTCGTCTTTTTCCATTTCCAAAATTTTATTCCGGCAGCAAACTCAATGAAACTTTAGCAATTCAAGTTGGATTTATTTATTGATTTAAATATATGTTTCCTTATATATGATCACGATCACAGAGTGCACCGGCTTTGATAACACTTTTATTGGAAAGTTTATAGCCTAAAATTGATAACTAATTTATTTACTAAGATTAAAAATAAAAATACCTTTTGCATTTAAATTTATGTCTTGGTTTCGTTTTTTCTAAAAATTTTTTATTTGTTAATATTTTTCCTGAAAGTTTCAAATCTTGTTTCAAATCAAATGTGAATTACGGAATATAAAATTTTTCACAGTGAAACTTAACTAAATAAAAGCTTTACTAACACATATATACATGCCTCCAACAACTGCAACCATAAATTCACAAAATAGTGGCATAAACAAATTTCTAAAAGACATTTATAATTTCTGCAAATTGAACGATAAAAAATTGTATCAAAATAACAAAAACTTGAAACCGAATTAAAAAAATCAACTGTTCCAAATTCTTTCACAAACTCGCTCACACATCTCTAACTATCAGTACACTTTTCCTTTTACAGTGATTACACGTATTTCTTCTCATCTATTCTATTCCGTGTACTTTCTGTGCTAAAATACGCGACAATTAAAAATCACCGCAAGCGCAAAATAAATACTTTTTTCGAATGGAGCAATTCAATGCCCTGCAAATTAAATTAAAATAAATAAGTAACAAAACATCAGCGCCAAATCACATATTGACCGCAAAATCTTATTAAAAAAATATTTCGGTAAAAGGAAATTCTGTGCCGTGGAAATTGTTCTGATCTGCGCTTCAGAATAGTGTTGGAATGCTGAAGTGGGTTAACATAGCAACGCGCCGAAGCGCGTGGCTATCAACGAACAGAGTGACAACAGCAGCGACGGCGTATGCCAAAAAATCGACAACAACAATAGCAACAGCTACAGCAACAGCAACCACAACACCGATAACATCTCACACGTTGACCTCGAAATCAACATCAATCAATTTTGCCATGTTGCTGCTCACAACGCTGTGTATAATAGCCGCATTAGTGCAGGCGACAAATGGATTTAAGCCAATTGATATGAACAATAGCGGTGAGTACCTCACGACTTGCCTTCTGCTTTGCTTTTAAAACTATTATACATTTTTTTTGAGGTATTAAGTAGTTGTGTGAAAGAGCTGTTGACAATTGTAGTAGGTGCTTTACTTTTCGTTATTATTTCACTGGAAGTGATGCAAGTGTTTTTGGTTCATTAAGTGTGAAGCGATTTTATAGTATTGATTTAGTTTTCAATCATTCACGTTGAGCTCGGTTTAAGCTGCCAAAAGCTCTTGTTTTATGTATTATGGTTCCATTTATTAATATTCTTGGACTAAATATATTCTAGCTGTTGTTGTAAGTTGTAGTAAACAGTGAGCTTAGAGGTCTCTTAAGAAAGAATAATTTTTCAATCTAAACAATATGTGGCCTCTTTTGTTTGTATAAAAATAAAAATCATACATTCATAGGATAAGTCGCTCTGTCGAATTTCTTTCAAAAACTTTCAGCTCTTCAGTAATCCAATCTAAACTCTACAAAACAGAATGATGGTTTCTTCTTTCCTAAAACCTCGTCATTTCTGTTACTTTATTGTTGACTAATATTCGTTCATAAATTTTAGGCTGTTTCAAGTAATTATAGGATATCGTATGAACCTCACCACAGAATAGAGCGAAACCTAGATTCATCAAGGTAAAGGCATTCTTTAGTGGGATGTACTTAATGTGTTTAGAAATCAATATAAAAAGAGTTACAAGCCTGAAATTATAACTAGAGACATTAAAGGAGTAAGAACAGTGGATGGATCCATTTACAATATTGTGCTTAAAAATAGCAGCGACGAAGGGGAGTCTACGATTCAGAAGTTTAGGGCCCAAAATTAGGCATCGTGATTCATACTAATTTGTGTTTTCTCATCTCGTTTAATGCGTATTACGTAGGAAACAGGTACAATATTCAGATGAAAGAGCTGTGGGCAATCCTTGTTCTTACAAGAGAAGCGTAAATAATCTTCTATGTGTAGTCATTTGATAGTAAAGTGATATCCGATTTCAAAATAGTATGATTAATGTATAAATGGAAACTGAATTTCGTCTCGAAATAATTAATTTCAGAAACCGAAGTGACCGGCAGTCCTTAAATGTGGTAATGTGTAGAATCATATAAATATTTAATTGCTGATTAAATCTTAAGGTCATCAGCATCGGGAAGAAATTCAGATACAATAAAACACAAAATGGGGCCCAAAATGTTGGCTTGAAGTGAGTCCAAGCTAGATAACTTGGATACTAGAACTTTGCGACAACTTTTATCATTGATATAGTTCCTAAGACTACTCAGTTGCTAAATTGCTTTATTCACCGTCCTAGGTTCACCTGCCTTTTATCAACCATAACTTAATAGCTGGTTGTTTTTCGGTCTGACACGAAAATGATTGAAATTGAAATATGTACATACTGGTATACGTAACCCATGAAAATTCAAAATTCGTGATACTTTTTGAACACACCTCGTGCATATGTATTCTTCTCATTTTAAATTCGATAACATTATAATACTTTCACAGCATTAATGTAAGGCAGTGAAATGATTTTTTAGTCCAATTCCTTTGTAATTTGGCAAAATATTAATCGTTGCCAGATTATTTGTGTACTCTCCTCTTAGTCATTTCCTCATCCCACTTCTTGCCATTGACGAATCTAAACAATACTTTTAGTATATAAAAAGTGAAATAAATTTCACACTTAACCACTCAACTTTTTATTGTACGCTATATGTATACGTGCATGTACATATATAGTATACATGGTGAACACTTCTGCAGTGCTATAGCTAGATAACGTCAACTAAGCACGGCAACAACAACCAATACAATAAATACCAGATAATGCAAACATAAGCCACAGAATACTCTAATTATAGAAAGTAGGATTTGCAAAAGCGCGGCAGCTCTTTGACACTGTTACACTAACACATATGTATGTATGTATGAAGTGAGATCTAAGATAGATAACGATGGCAGCTGCTAAATGATGCTCACATTGTTGTAAATGAGACAAATACCGTTTCTAATGCTCGTAGTAGAAAATTACAGCGGCTAATAATAAACACTCACATATATATTAATATGTATGTGAACATATGTTCTTTACAGAGCTGTTGTACTCCAATACTCACTCGCTACTAATCTAATGTTTTTTTCTGCTTATTCTAACGTCTAACACGCACTGCAAATTCCTCGCACTCGCACACACACACACATACATACGCGCGCGAGCGTAATGAAGCTTGAAACGCGTTTGTTGCTTAAGTCTTTTGTATGCGCAACAACACTAACACACTTGCGCATGAAGCAACAGTTGCGTGTACATACAATGCATACATTATACAGTACGAAAGTATATATATGTACATATATACACATGTGGGTAAATTTTACTTGGCGCTGGAAAAATATTAAAATTTCACAATATTTAACGCACTTTCGCGCTTGTAAGTTGACACAATAAATGCTTGTGGAGTGAACTCTGTCTACTAAAAATAAAAGTTAATGTTCTCTAAAATCTTTGTAGGTGCTTTCGGAGTAGAAAATATTTTTCAAATCCGAAAATATGTTCTCAGTTATTCTACAAAAGAAAATACCATTATTTTGGGAATGCAGGCTCAAAAAATGTACTTTTAGTCACAAAAATTAAGAACTATTGTCTAGGAGTTTTCCTTAATTTACACAAAAGAACCAACGATAAAGTTTCACATTTTATTTTCTCATTAATTGGAAAATAAAACTCATTTAAAATTTTAATCAATATTTTTAAACATAAATCTCATTATTAAAGATACGAGAAAGTTTAATATTATAAAAAGCATAAAACGATTTCAAGAAAAAATTGTTTTTTTTAACAAACTCCAACTCAACCTTCAGTGAGAGTAATGCAGCTATTCAGCCCCCCCCCCCCCACGTCTGCTATACACGTATGTATGTGCTATCCCCCGCACGTAAATATAAACGTAAACATGTTTAAATTTGTGCTAAATGCAAAACGTGATGGCATTATTATTACATTTTTATTTCTGTCATTTCTACCACTACCACCGATTCTTGTACCAACAACTTGCTTTGACTTGCCTAACTTTTTTTCTGTAGCTTCTCGATAATGACGACGTCAGCCTTGGCTCTGTGTGGTATATTGTGGCCAAGAGTGGTAATAAGAACAAGCATTAGCAATAACAATGCGTAAAAGAGTAATAAAAAAAATATGAATAGTTTTATGGTTAGCTGGAGTATGCCAGTGGCAGTGACAACAATAACGAGCTGCGCAACATATGTACGAAATGCGAGCAACAGAAAGACATATATACTAGCACAGACACACACACACACACACACACAGGCATATGTTTTCATTTGAAGCACTTCCATTTCCATTATCACTCGCCATAATTTCACAATCACGTTCCGCTGCTGCCGTCGCCGCCGCCGCCGCCGCGTCCACGCTCTGCGTGCTGCGTGCTGTGTGCTGCCTCCTGTCCACTATTTAACTTCATTTTCTGCCGTAAGAATTTCTCTGGCCATTTGTTGGCTTTCTTGCTGCTACTATTTGTAGCTCTTATTAGCATGTAAGCATGACTACTGTTGCACACTCATACGCACACAAATGCACACAAACACAGCACTGTCAGTCAACATTTTCGGTATCATATCATTGGACGGCATTGCCACCGCGTTATTCTATTTCACGGCATATGTATGTGCATATTAATGTTTGCATGAATATTTGTGCGCATTCATTTGCCATTGAAAATTTCTATTATTTTTATATGTGCATGTGTTTTGTGAGGCAACGCACGTCTATAACTGCATAAATATTTATGCACAAGAGCATACATGTATGCGTGTGTGTGTGCGTTGAGACGGACGTAGTTGCAAATAGAAATTGTTAAGTGATTTTTCTGGTCAATAACTGCAAAGTATTAGCGCTGAGGTATTTTTTCGCTTTCTAATCTTGTGAAATTTATATGCAATTCTTGTTTGATCTTTTTTCACTTCAGATATTTTTTTTTGCAGTGTTAGATTATTAGCGCTTTCTGCGTATTTTTTTAAAAATGAGTGTAGTTTTTATTATAATAAAAAAATGTATTGGATTCTGAATTTTAGTCACTAAAAAAATTTTCGATGGTCGATGGATTTGAACCCGAGCCTTCCGAATGGCAGTACCACTCGGCCACAGCGGCCGCACACAATAAAACAGGAAAATATAACAAAAATAAATCTAAAATATGACCAAACTAAACTAAATGTTTTCTTAATTAATTTTATTGAGCTGACTCTGATCATACACATTTTTTGTGTAATAAATAAATAATTTTATTAATTAAATAAATTCATTAAAAGGAAATGTACAAAATCAGAAAATGTATTTTTATTAAATATTTTATCAAATCATTCAATACAGACGAAAATCCATGAAATTTTTGTAATTAAATCAAAAATAATAATAAACACAAAAGAACAAGAGGAAAGGTGATTAGGTATGATAAATTAAAGAATAAACAAATAGTAAAAAAAATAAATTTATTTAAAATAAAAATAAAAAAATGAAAGTAAGAAAATTTAATTAACTTAATATGTATGATTAAAAGATCTTAGAGCAAAGATAACTAAAAAAAAAATTTTTAAATTTGAACCATATTTATAGTAAAAGAATTACTTGATTACAAAACTCACAAGACTAAATACGAATAACAGAAAATTTTTGATATAATATGTACATATAATATAAAGTACTGAAAAGAGCAAAGCATCAAAAATAAATTAACTGAAAATAGTTAATTCACTTAAAAATATTAAAAAAAATTTTTGAAAAAAATTAGAACTTATTTAAAAAACACCATAAAAATGGGAAATAATTGAAAACAGCAAGTCAAGTTAGCTGCGTTTTCTGATAATTACCAAAGTCTTTTGACTTGAGCGCTAACATGCCACTATATAACATAACCGCAATGACATCATTTAACCGTTAAAGATATCTAAAATATTTTAATATTCATAAAAGC